AAAAAAAAAAAAAAAAAAGAAAATATTCCCCTCACCCCTATCTTTGTTTGTTTGTTTGTTTGTTTTTGAGACAAAGTCTTGCTCTGTTGCTCAGAGTGCAGTGGCACAGTCTCAGCTCACTGCAACCTCCATCTCCCAGGTTCAAGTGATTTTCCTGCTTCAGTCTCCCGAGTAGCTGGGACTACAGGCACCCACCGCCATGCCCAGCTACTTTTTGTATTTTTAGTGGAGACAAGGTTTCACTATGTTGGCCAGGCTGGTCTCGAACTCCTGACCTCAAGTGATCCGCCTGCCTTAGCCTCTCAAAGTGCTGGGATTACAGGCATGAGTCACCGTACCAGAACGAATATTCTTCTTGACCTAAGATACTTGTGGACTTCCTGTGGACATGGGTTCAGTGTTTCTCTAGGATAGATACAAGGAAATATTTATTTATTTATTTATTTATTTGAGATGGAGTCTCACTCTATTACCCAGGCTGGAGTGCAGTGGCACAATCTCGGCTCACTGCAACCTCTGCCTCCTGGGTTCAAGCGATTCTCCTGCCTCAGCTGAGTAGCTGGAACTACAGGAACGCATCACCATGCCTTGCTAGTTTTTGTATTTTTAGTAGAGATGGAGTTTCACCATGTTGGCCAGGATGGTCTCTATCTCCTCATCTCATGATCTGCCCACCTTGGCCTCTCAAAGTGCTGGGATTACAGGTGTGAGCCACTGCGCCCGGCCAATGCAAAGAAGTATTATTACTGAGTCATAGAGTATGTACTTTGCAGAGAGATGTGAGTTATTCTCCTCATTTGTTTTGAGATAGAGTTTTTCTCTTGTTACCCAGGCTGGAGTGCAGTGGTATAGTCTCGGCTCATTGCAGCCTTCGCCTCCCAGGTTCAAATGATTCTCCTGCCTCAGCCTCCAGAGTAGCTGGGACTACAGGTGCCTGCCACCATGCCCAGCTGATTTTTTTTGTATTTTAGTAGAGACAGGGTTTCACTGTGTTGCTCAGGCTGGTTGTGAACTCCTGAGCTAGGCAATCCGCCTGCCTCCCCCTCCCAAAGTGCTAGGATTACAGATGTGAGCCACTGCGCCTGACCTGTATTTTTTTTTAGAGACAGAGTCTCACTCTGTCGTTCATGCTTGAGTGCTGTGGTGCCATCATGGCTCACTGCGGTCTGTACTTCGTGGGCTCAGGTGATCCTCTCACTTCAGCCTCCCAAGTAACTGGGACTACAGGTGTGTGCAACCACACTGGCTAATTTTTGTATTTTTTTGTAGAGACAGGGTTTCACCATGTTGCCCAGGCTGGTCTTGAACTCCTGGTTGAAGCGATTCACCTGCCTCAGCCTCCCAAAATGAGTTCAAGTGATTCACCTGCCTCAGCCTCCCGAAGTGCTGGGTTTACAGGTGTGAACCACCATGCCTGGCCTTGTCTTTCTCATTTGACAGATGATTAAATGGAGGCACAGAGACGTAGAGTGACTTGCCCAGGGTCACACAGCAGGGAGCAGCAGAGGTAGGAATAGAACCCAAGTCTGTGGGACTCCAGAACCTGGATCTTTTGCATCATACCCTCCTCGGCTGATTTACAGAGCCTCAGACGTGTCCACACATGCGCACACACACACTCTGTCTCTCTCTGTATCTCTCTCACTCAGTCTCTCTCTCTCACTGTCCAGATCTCCACATACATCACAGTACCCCCATCCCCACTGATCCAGACCCTGGTACAGGGGAACATCTTGGTGAGCGATGACGTGCTCATGTCTGCCATGTCAGCCTTCACATCCCTGGACCAGCCCATGCCCCAGGGCCCCCCACCTGTGCAGGTAAGAAGGCGTGGGCTTCTCATGGGGTCTTGATTCCAGACCTGTACCTTAACTCCTGCAGATTCAGAATCCTGTAGAATAAAGGGGGCCTGGCCCCAGCTCTCCCTGATGCCAAGGGGGGCTGTCAGCTTCCCCTTGTCCAGCTCTGCTATAGGTGGGGAAGCTGCTACATCTAGGTGGGGACCCAGAATGTGTGGGGCTTTGTAGGTTCAGTCCAGCTATTTTGACCTTTTTTTTTTTTGAGGTGGAGTGTCACTCTGTTGCCCAGGCTGGAGTGCAGTGGCATGATCTCAGCTCACTGCAACCTCTGCCTCCTGGGTTCAAGTGTTTCTCCTTCATCATCCTCCTGAGTAGCTGGGATTACAGGTGTGTGCCACCACACCTGGCTAATTTTTGTATTTTTAGTAGAGACAGGGTTTTACCGTGTTGACCAGGCTGGTCTTGAACTCCTGACTTCAGGTGATGTGCCCCTACCTCAGCCTCCGAAAGTGCTGGGATTACAGGTGTGAGCCACTGCACCCAGCCTGATTTCTGAGGTTTTTTTTGAGACAGAGTCTTGCTGTTGTGCCCAGGCTGGAGTACAGTGGTATGATCTCGGATCGCTGCAACTTCTGCCTCCCAGGTTCAAGCAATTCTCCTGCCTCAGCCTCCTGAGTAGCTGGGATTACACACTAATTTTTGTATTTTTAGTAGAGATGGAGTTTCACTGTGTTGGTCAGGCTGGTCTCAAACTCATGACCTCAGATGATCTACATGCCTTGGCCTCCCAAAGTGCTGGGATTATAGGCATGAGCTACCTCACCTGGCCTTTTTTTTTTTTTTGAGAGGGAGTCTTGCTCTGTTGCCCATGCTGGAGTGCAATGGCATGATCTCTGCTCACTGCAACCTCTGCCTCCCAGATTCAAGTGATTCTCCTACCTAAGCCTCCTGAGTAGCTGGGACTACAGGAGCATACCACCACACCTGGCTAATTTTTTGTATTTTTAGTAGACACGGGTTTTTACAGTGTTAGCCAGGATGGTCTCGATCTCCTGACCCCGTGATCTACCTGCCTAGGTCTGCCAAAGTGCTGGGATTACGGGAGTAGGCCACCACTCCAGGCCTGCCTTGTTTTTATTCTTAACAAGTGTCCCCTGTCCATTAGAAAAACAGAAAATGCGGGCGGGGCACAGTAACTCACGCCTGTAATCCCAGCACCTTGGGAGGCCAAGACAGGTAGGTCATGAGGTCAGGTGTTTGAGACCAGCCCGGTCAACATAGTGAAACCCTATCTCTACTAAAAATTCAAAAAATTAGCCAGGTGTGGTGGCGGGTACCTCTAATCACAGCTACTCTGGAGGCTGAGGCAGGAGAATCTCTTGAACCTCGAAGGCAGAAGTTGCAGTGAGCCAAGATCACACCACTGTACTCCAGCCCAGGCGACCGTGCGAGACTCTGTCTCAAAAAAAAAAAAGAGAGAAACAGAAAATGCATAGTAGTTCCTGGGATTAAAAATAAAAATTGTAAAGATAGGGGTCTCCCTTTGTTGTCCAGGCTGATCTTGAACTCCTGGGCTCAAGGGATCTTCCAGCCTTGGCCTCTCAAAGTGCTGGGATTATAGATGTGAGCTACTGCACCTGGCCAGGATTTTTTTAATACAAAAAGGATCTGTGGCCAAATGAGCCTAAGGTGGAGGTGTTTTACTTCTCCCCTTGCTGTGTCCCTGGGTTCTTCCTGCCATGTAGAAATCCTTTTGATTTTCTCAACAGAGACTTTTTCCTCATACATATTTTACTGTGGAACATAAGGAATAGCAGTGAAGAGGAGGACCCTGTGTCCTTTATGAAATGCTGATCAGCATCATCATGTGTTTTTTTGTTTGTTTGTTTTTTCTTTTTAAATTTTTGAGGCAGTGTCTCACTTAGGTTACTCAGGCTGGAGTGCAGTGGTGAGATCATAGCTCACTGTAACCTCAAACTCCTGGGCTCAAGCCATCCTCCCTCCTCAGCCTCCTAAGTAGCTGGGACTGCATACGTGTGCCAACATACTTGGCTAATTAAAAAAAATTTTTTTGCCGGGCGCGGTGGCTCAAGCCTGTAATCCCAGCACTGTGGGAGGCCGAGGCGGGTGGATCACGAGGTCAAGAGATCAAGACCATCCTGGTCAACATGGTGAAACCCCG